TCAGCGCCCTTCCATCCTTTTCCCCAATTCCAACACCTCACTCTTTTTGGGATCTCATAATTTTGCATTTTTTGGGAGCTGGCTGCCCCCCAGGAGCGGGGTTGGCATTGGGATGGGCACAAAACCCCTGTGCCACTCCCTGACGGGCTGGACGTGTGGCAGATCACCATCTGCAGGAACGAYGAGTGCGTGCTGGAGGACAACTCGCAGAGAACCAAGTGGAAGGTGATCAGCCCCACGGGGAACGAGGCCATGGTGCCTTCTGTCTGCTTCCTGATCCCCCCACCCAACAAGGAGGCCATCGAGATGGCCAGCAGGTAACCAACATCAGAGAAATGAGGAAAAAGTGGGGATGGAGGAGTGAAAGTGGTTTGTGGTGTGGAAAGGGAAACCCTTATGGGGTTTCATTAGGGGAGGCAGGGAAGGAGGGATTTGGGGTGCTCAGCTCTCTCTGCTCTTCTTGGGAGAACCTCATGAGTTCTTCAGCTTGCTGCAGCACTTTGCAAAACTGATAAAAAAAAAAAATGACAGTTTGGGATTTCTGGATGTCGCGTCATTAATTTCACAATCTGGATTTCATGTGAAATTTAGCAAGCTATGATTTAAAATGGATATTCATCAGTGTCCAAAGCTGCGATCTCCCCAAAGCGCTTTGCTACTCCTTTAAGGAAAAAAAACCCAACAAAGTAATTCTTACAAATGTCCAGGCTGCTTAATTTCTCGATTGTTAATTTGAATCCACCTGCTCTCTTGCATTGGACTTTTGCATTCAATAAAATCATATTTAAATAAGATTTTTAAATCAGCATGAGCTAAGCAACACATTTTCAGCCAAGGTGGTGGACTGCAAATACAATCCCCATAAAATTTACACAGGAAGGAGGGATCCTCACAGGGATCTCTGGCTTTGAGCAGCAGCAGCATCACTTCTGCCAGGCTGGGATCCTGCAGTGATGGCTGGGGGATTAACGGGGTCAGGGCTGGGTTTATTAGGAAGATCTGGGGTTGATGGATTTGCTCCTTGCCCTGGCAGGGTGGAACAGCTGTACCAGAAAGTGATGGCTCTGTGGCACCAGCTGCACATGAACACCAAGAGCCTCATCTCCTGGAATTATCTGAGGAAGGACATGGCYCTGGTGCAGAGTTTCAGCATAGAAAAGGTGAGGAGGAGCTGTGGTTCTGGGATTGTGCTGCTCCCCACAGGAGAGAGGGGAGAGCAGGGAGTGCAAAATTGGGGAAGTCAAGGGTTTTTATAACTTGAACAGTGGGAAAAGCTGAACTGGAGGGTGCTATGCAAAAAGGATGGTGATTTTTCCAGTTAAAGAAGCATCAGGAGTTTGCTGCTGCTGAGGAATCGTGGATTGAGAGTTTTATTAGGGAGCTAGCACGGCTCAAGGGAGGAAAATTTACCTCTGAAAATACTCCCTTGGCAAACGAAAATGGCTCAGTTGATGCTCATGAAGTTATTCCTGATGTCTGAATGTGCTGCTTTTCCCACCTGCAGCTCAGATCCTCGTCTCAGGGCGAGTGTGAGCAAGCCCTGAAGAGCCTCCAGGGCCACTACGAGGATTTCCTGCAGGACAGCCGCGACTCCGAGCTCTTCTCCGTGTCGGACCGGCTGCGCCTGGAGGAGGAAGTGGAGTCTTCCAAGGAACACATCCGCCAGCTGCTGGARTCCATGGAGAATGGTGAGCTTCAAAAGCACTGATGGTTTAACCAGGAGCTGTGGGAGCTCATAAACAAAGGATTTATGGGRTGGCTCGGTGTCCTTTCTCTTCCTGAGCTGGCTGGTTGATGGTGTGAGCAGCTGCTCTCCTTGTTTCTCCATCCATCCAAGTGCTGGGCCTTTGTCCAGCAGGATTCCTGCAGCGAGGGAGGAATTGGCTCTGCATTTCAGSCGAGCTGCTGAGTCCTTAAAATGCTGGGTTTAGGATGTATTCTGAGCAAGGAGCTCTCCCTGTGTTTAATCTTTGGGACAACACACGTGGTGGTGGCACTGGTGACACTATGAGCCCTGCTAGGACCATTCCGAGGGAGGTTCCTGGTGGCTGGACTAATTTACAGCTTAATTTGAAGGGGATGTTTAATGAACTTGAGCAGAGATTAATTAATTCCATCCGGTGTCAGAGATCCGGGGGCTCCAGTGGGTCTGGTTTGGGGACAAATGTCACCAGAGCTGCTCGAGCCTCTGTTCCCTTTGTGTCTCCACCCTGCAGAAGACAAGGATGAGACCATGGCCAGGACATTCCTGTCGGAGCTGAAGAACATCCGCCTGCRGCTGGAGGAGTGTGAGCAGCGCCTGCTCAGCCGTGTCCAGACCCCGAGCGGCGCCCGCGCCGACGGCGACGCCGTGCAGGAGAACGCCATCCGCATGGCAGAGCAGGAGGTGAGAGGGGCAGGGCAGGGCAGGGAGCAGCTGGGCAGCTCCAAAATCAGCTGTGGATACACCCAAAACCAGCTGTGGATATCCCTCAAAAAACAGCTCTGAACACCCCCTAAAAAAGCTGTGGATATCCCCAAAAACAGCTGTGAATACCCCCAAAAACAGCTGTGGACATCCCCAAAACAGCTGTGAGCACCCCCAAAACCACCTGTGGACACCTCCTAAAACAGCTGTGCACATCCCCCAAAAAAGAGCTGTGGACGCCCCCAAAATCAGCTCTGGGTACCCCCTAAGACAGCTGTGGATACCCCCCAAAACCAGCTGTGGACACCCTCTAAAAACAGCTGTGAACACCCCCAAAAACAGCTGTGGATACCCTCAAAAACAGCTGATTTTTGCCTATTTGGGCTGGGGGTTTTTTCCCTCTTTGGGTTGGGCTTTTTTCCCCTGATTTTTCCCCATTTGTGCCAATTTTTTCCCCGATTTTTTCCTTGTTTGTGCTGATTTTCCCCCTGCTTTTTCCCCATTTGTACCGATTTTTTCCCTGATTTTTCCTGTTTGTCCTGATTTTTCCCTCTGGTTTTTCCCCGTTTGTGCTGATTTTTCCCCTGATTTTCCCCCTGCTTTTTCCCCATTCATGCCAATTTTTTTCCCCCTGATTTTCCCCTATTTGTGCTCTCTGTTCACACTCTCTCTCCCCATCCCCAGCRCACTCAGGAGGATCTGCAGCAGCTCCAGTCCGAGCTCTGTGTGGTGTCCGAGCGTTGCTTCACCTTCCTGGACAAGGCACCCGCGGGTCCCAGCACACCCCAACTGCGCTCAGAGCTGGAGCTGGTGGTGAACAAAATGGAGCAAACCCATGGGCTGTCCTCCATCTACCTGGAAAAGTGAGTTGGGGCGTTCCTGAATTCCCAAATACCTTTTTGAGCATTGACTAAATGCTTTATTCTGTCCCTCCAYCATATTTTGTGCTGGACGTCACCGAGCCCACCCTGCAGCTTCCCCGTTTCTGTCAGATCTTGGATGTTGTTGCCAGTTTTAAATAATGACACAGACATGGTTAAGGGGATAAAAAGGGTTTTACCTCAGGATTTGGGATCCCAGATRCAAAACTTGATGGCTGAATGCTCACCCATGTACAGCACGGATACAAGTTTTATAGATTTCAGGAATCAGCAAATCTATCTTGGATTCCCTAATAAGAAACTTCACAAATGCAGTAATGAATCTAATGAATTCTATTCTATTCTAATGAATTCTATTCTATTCTAATGAATCCCCCCTGGATGAGGCCAGAGCCCAGTTTAGACAAGATATTCCAGACAGAAAGCTTCACCCAAGGCTGGAGTCGGGTTTAAGATAGCACAGGGCACGCTGATCCCTTCCTGAGGATGTTTGGTCTCTCTTGGCCCAGCAGAATTCCTAAACCAAGCTGGAATATCAGGCTCCAGCAATTCTAAACATTCAGGRTAAGGGGTACAGGGGGATGCACAGAGGGTACAGAAAGTGTAAAAAGGAAAATCAGGCATCAATGTCACCCTGCTGCCTCTGCATTTGCCAGGTTGAAGACGGTTGATATCATTGTCCGTGCCAGCCAAGGGGCAGAATCGCTGGTCAAGGGCTACGAGGTGAAGCTGAGCCAGGAGGAGGCCGTTCCTGCAGACCTGGTGGCCATCCAGACTCACAGGGCAGCCTTGCAGGTTGGTGCTGGGGGTTTGGCAGGCAGGGTCTTGCTCTTTTCTTTCTGCCAAAATCGGGCTGTGGGATGTTTTTTTCTGACCCCATCTGACTTTATTGTCCTCTTCACTCTACACCTCCCAAAACCTCCCAGTTCTTTGCAGGTGGAGGAGAAAAAATAATGGGAAAATGAGAAAAATAATGGGAAAATGAGAAAAATAATGGGAAAATAAAGCCGTTGACCCCTCCCCAGCTTTGTCAGCTCTGGGTGGGCGTGGGGATGTCTCTGACTCGGTCCCTTCTGCTCTCGGCGCCACTGACCCGGCGCTGTCTGGTTTTGCAGACGTGGCTCGGGGAAGTGAAGGACAAGGGCTCCGTGTTCTCCACGCTGGAGCAGGAGATGGCCAAGGCCAAGGAGGTGGGGGAGCAGCTCTTCAGGCTGAGGCAGGAGCGCAGCATCGACCTGGAGCGCTTCCAGGAGAAGGGCAGCCAGYTGTGGGAACGCTGGCAGCGAGTCTGCGCCCAGATCGACACCCGGTGAGAGCCCTCCTGGCTTTACCCCACCCAAGAGCTTGGTCAGGGTGGAATTTTCCTCTTTAGGGGGGAATTTTCCTGGTGGGATCCTCACTGGTGGTGTTCCACCCCTCCTCTGACCCCGGCTGTGGTTTTCCCTCAGCCACACGGAGCTGGAGAGCATCCAGGAGGTGCTGAGCGATTACCGGCAGTGCCACGGCGCCCTGATCCAGTGGATCGAGGACATCACAGCCCAGCAGGAGCTGATGAAGCCCGGCCAGGCAGAGGACAGCCGGGTGCTGTCGGAGCAGCTCAGCCAGCAGACGGTGAGGAGGGAGCTYGCTTTGTTCATCCCCGAGTTTGGAAATGGGGAAAGCAGCGGGGGAGAGGTGGGGAGCGCAGGAACTCTGCTTGGCTCAAGGTGTGGATGAGGTCTTGAATGAGAATTGGAGATTGGAAAGGTTTTACCCCAAACTGGAAAGGTTTTACCCCAAAATAAAGGGATGCAAACGGGAATTCTGCTCACCCCGCCATGGCAGCTGTCACAGAATCCCAGAAAGGCCTGGTTGGAAGGGATCTTCAAAATCATTTTGGGTTGGAAGGGATCTTTGAGATCATCTTGGGTTGGAAGGGATCTTCAAAATCATTTTGGGTTGGATGGGATCTTTGAGATCATCTTGGGTTGAACGGGATCTTTGAGATCATCTTGGGTTGGAAAGGATCTTTGAGATCATCTTGGGTTGGAAGGGATCTTCGAGATCATCTCGGGTTGGAGGGAATCTTTAAGATCATCTTGGGATTTGGAAGGGATCTTTAAGATCATCTTGTTTCCATCCTCCTGCCATGGGACACCTTCCACCACCCCAAATGTGCCCCAAACCCCATCCAACCTGGCCTTGGACATTTCCAAGGTTGGGGCAGCCACAGCTTTTCTGGGCTAAAACCTGTCCTGACAAMCATTTTTGTTTTGAATTTTCCCAAAGGCTTTGGCTGCAGAAATTGAGAAGAATCAAGCCAAGCTGGACCAGTGTCAGAAATTCTCCCAGCAATACTCTGCTGCTGTCAAGGTGGGGTTCCACCTGGGYAGGGTGGGCTGGGCAGGAGCAGCCRGGGCAGGGWTCACAGAGCTCACARAKCTCACAGACATCACAAATCYCACAGATTTCACAAATCTCACTCTCCCCACCTTTGCAGGAGTATGAGCTGCAGCTGATGACCTACAGGGCCTTTGTGGAGTCKCAGCAGAAGTCGCCCATGAAGCGCCGACGGATGCTCTCCTCCTCTGACGCCATCACCCAGGAGGTAAAAGCCCACCTGAGCTTGGCAGGGAGAAATTTTGGGGAGGGGGTTTCTCTTTTTTTGCCCAACCACTGTGCAATGAGTTCCTTACTGCTGCCCTTTTAGGGCCCCAAGAGCCTTTTAGGACCTCGAGAACCTTTTAGAACCTCGAGAACCTTTTAGGGTCCTGAGAACCTTTTAGGACCTTGAGAACCTTTTAGGGCCTTGAGAACCTTTTAGGGTCCTGAGAACCTTTTAGGGTCCTGAGAACCTTTTAGGACCTCGAGAACCTTTTAGGACCTCGAGAACCTTTTAGGACCTCGAGAACCTTTTAGGGTCCTGAGAACCTTTTAGGACCTTGAGAACCTTTTAGGGCCTTGAGAACCTTTTAGGGTCCTGAGAACCTTTTAGGACCTCGAGAACCTTTTAGGGCCTCGAGAACCTTTTAGGGTCTAATCTGCTCTGTGTGGATATGAAGAGATCCCTCTGTGAGAGTTGAGCGTCCACCCCAGTGTCCATGCCCGGAATTTCTGGTGTCCGTGGCCAGAGTGCCTGGTGTCCATGCCCAGTGTCCATGCCTGGAGTTCCCAGTGTCTGTGGCCAGAGTGCCCAGTGTCCATGGTTGGATTCTGCAGTGTCCATGCCCAGTTGTCCATGCCAGGAGTGCCCGGAGTGCCCGGTGTCCACAGAGTCTGGAGTGCCCGGTGTCCGTGGTATCTGTGTCCCGAGTGCCCGGTGTCCATGCCCTGATTCTGTTTTCCCCCCATTTTCCCCCTGGTTTTCCCCCATTTTCCCCCCGTTTTCCCCATTTTCCCCCATTTTTCCCATTTTTCCCCCGTTTTCCCCTGTCCTGAGCAGTTCATGGATCTACGGACACGCTACACGGCGCTGGTGACGCTGACCACGCAGCACGTCAAGTACATCAGYGACGCTCTGCGGCGCCTGGAGGAGGAGGAGGTGAGAAAAAGGTGTTCCTTTATGCCAGGGCTGTGCTCTGCTTGGTTCAGGCTCGYTGTGAGATGAGCAAAAACCTGGAATAACCAATCTCAGGATCCATTGAAATGGTTTTATTGGTGGAAAGAGCATTAATCTCTCAAAAACACATGTTTATGGGAAGTTTGGTTTGGAGACGTGTGTGTTTCTAACTGRAATCACTTTGGGAAGGGAGGAGGAGCAGGTCTCAAAACTGCTAAAATAACACTTTTTTAATTCTTTGAAGTAACTTTTTATTTGGAAATGSAAGCTGATAACAGCTCGGCTTCTTGACCACTTCTCACAGCCAYGTTCCCTCCATCCCCAAGGGTGCTGCTCCGTGCCCAGGGCACATCCTGGGTGCTGTTCCCCATTTGGACATCCCCTCTGATGTGGTTGTGTTCCCTCTCCCTGCTCTGTCTGCAGAAAGTGGTGGAGGAGGAGAAGCAGGAGCACGTGGACAAGGTGAAGGAGCTGCTGGGCTGGGCCCTGGGCTTGAAGCAGAGCGTGCAGGGCAGGACAGCGGCTGCGGGGAGCAGAGAGCTGGGGGACATCGAGAAATCCATCTCGGAGCAGCAGGTGAAGCAGGAGGGACCCCAGGCACTGAGCTTTCACCTCTGCTCTTTTCTCACAGCTGCTTTCATTCTTTTTAAAATTTTTTTTAAATTTATTTTTTGCCAGTCGCTTTGCTTTTACCTCTGCTCTCTTCTTACAGCTTAAATAAGCCGCTTTCTTTCATTCTTTTAAAATTTTTTTTTTTTTTTTTTTTGCCAGGCCCTGAACGAGGAGCTGACTGCGAAGAAGGAGCAGGTCTCTGAGGCCATCAAAACCTCCCAAATCTTCCTGGCAAAACACAGCCACAAGTGAGTGTGACCCAGGGAGAGAGSAGGGGCTGGAGATGAGATTCCTGGTGGATCCTGACTCTGGTTAAAAACAGGATGAGTTTTTTAAAACAATGATCTGCACGTGCCAGTGGTCTTCTTTATCGTTTGCAGTGAGAAATGTGCAGCTCATTTATGCTGTGGAACACCATTAATCCTCTTTAGGATGCAGCTCCATATGTTTGGGGATTTGRTTGTTGCAGGGCAGCTTTTGCTGAGTTATCCTGGCAGGGGGAAGGAGCAGAGGAAGGGGCTTGGGGTGGATTTGGGTTGGAAAAACGTGGCAATTCCGTGCAGACGGTTTGGGCAGCATCCTGAGCGATTTCCCCTTTCCCCCTGCAGGCTTTCCCAGCCAGAAAAGGAGCAGATTTCTGCTCAGATCAGCGCTCTGAAGGAGACCTACAACGCTCTGTGCAGCAACTCCACGGAGCAGCTKCAGCAGCTCCAGAGCCAGCTGGCTCAGGAGACCGAGCACAAGGTACTGCTCCTGCCCAGCCTCGTGGCTGCACAGGCACATTTCACTCCTCAGGGTGTGAAAAAATGTTTCATTTCATTGTGTGTCTCGTGGCCAGTGGCCACTCACAGCCTCTGGTTGCCCTCACTTCTCTTCCATCCGAAGGATCCAGGCTGGGGGTCCCTGGAGGCTGARCAGGAGCCGCTTTCCTGTCACCTCCGAGGTTGATGGGACAGTTGTCCTTCATTTTCTGTCCTCGGTGTGAGGATTGGCTCGGTGAGCAGGGTGGCAGATGGAATTCTGCCCTGGAAATGGAAGGGATCCCAGAAAATCCCTGGAAACGGTGCCCTGAAGGAAATCTGTGTCCTCTGAGGGATGAGTCGAACCTCGGAGGGCTCCATCCCCCGCGGGCAGGGGGTGCAGGAAGATGGGGTTCACGAGGGTTTCAGGGTCTGGCTGAGGGTTTTTCCACCAAAACTGGGATTCCACTGCATTGTCCAGCCCTTCAGCTGCCCTGGGAGCCCTTCAGGACCCATTCCCTGTCCATATCCCCCCTCGTTCCGCTGGGTAGGGAGGGCTGGGAGCGCGTCCCCGTTGCCTCTGTCAGGAGCTGTCACTCACGGGTTTCCGTGTGCGTGTCCTCTCCGTGTTTATTCATGTCTGGTGGATATTTTTGTGTGTTTGCTTGCTGGCTCCCTGTACCCTGAAGCAGCAGCCCGCTCACATCTGGCTGGGAGACGCAGGTTTTGGCCCTCGGGTCCCTGAGTGAAGCCCTGTTCCAGCCTTTTTTTTGGGATCTGCCTGTCCAGCTTTCACCTAAATACATAATTTTTGCACCAAACTGGATTTTACAGCACATTCCCAAGTGTTTCAGAGCTGGAAATGGTTAATTTTGCTGTCTTTATTTTGCTGATTGATTCAGCCCTTCAGCCTCTGTGCTGGCAGCAGAAAGATGAGGTGTCAGTCGCTGCTAACCCATCCAGGATTCAGCAGAGCCTTCCTATTGAAAGGATGCTTTTTGTCCTTTCCCTCCCTTTTGAGGCAGAAAAACTATTTTAGAGCAAAAACCCTCCTCCAGGGTTTGTTTTGGCACAGCACGAGGCTGTTTTTGGGGCTGGAACAGTTTTCACTCACGCTCTCGACGAAGCCCAAGCAGCAAAACGAGAGGTGGCAGCGGGGTCTCACCTCAAATCCCCGTCTGCAAAACCACCCCTGCRGCTCTGCTGCGGAGCCGTTGCTTCACTGTAGAGGGAGCATGAAGAACTCTTTTTAACATTTGCTTGCTGGAAACATCCAACTGTCGGAGAGGGGTTACAAAAAAAAAAAAAAATCCGAAAAAAGAAAAAAAAAATGCAAAGCAGAACGCGCTAAATTGAGCATGATGTGTCCCTGTACGGTTTTGTGTTTCATGTCAACTGTTTTTTGAGATTAACTGACATCCTTGCTTACAAGTTTGACTAACCCSCCTGGGATTTAAACAAAACAAAAACACACAGAAGGGGAAAGAGGACGGAGCTGTGTGTGGGGTTCCTTTTATTTTGGCAAAAAACAAAGCGGTCGCATGCTGGACGCTAACCCCAAGCTTTACACTGTGTGTGATACGGCTGAACTGCTCCATAAGGCTCTGTCTTTAACTGCTCCAGGCACACCCTGCAAGTCTGGTAAGTAAAAGCCTTTTACTCCCCTCCCTCCCATCCGTCTCCTTTTTTTATCTTTCTCTTTTGTCCCCCCTCTTCTCCTTCTTCTCTGTCTTCCCACGGCTYGTCCGTCTCTGAGTGTGCACGGCAGGGTCTGGCCATGGTGGTGGAGAGCTTAGGCTGTCCTAAGAGGTCCCTCCTGTCCCCACAGCGGGGTGTTGGGATGCAAAAAGAGCTTATCCCATAATCCTCATTCCCTCCTTGCCATCCCCACAAAAATCTGAGTGTGCTTGGGCYGACCTCATACCCGGGAGAAACCCAAATGTCCCAAGAGCTTTTGAATGAAGATCCCCTTGATCACCTAAATGATCGCCCTCCCTGTGGGGACAGCAGCAAGGAAAGCCCCTCAAACACGCCACAGTAGCTGGTGTGGGTCCAGTCTGTCGCTGTTTCCGTGCTGGGACCTTCTGCTTGTTCCCTTTGTCCCCTGGCTGTGTCTGAGGAGCAGCTCAGAGGTGCTGGAACAGGGCTGTGGTGGTGCTTGTGGAACTGCCCCGTTCCTGCCCCAATGCATGGCCGGGAGCTGCTCCATGGCTCAGGGCTCTGGGGTGCTCCCCAGCCACCCTGGAATTTAGGGTTTGCTTGGGYAGAGCAGGATTTGCAGCATGGCAGGATCAGCGTGGAGCTGCGCTGGGAGAGGCTCCTCCTCACCCCAAAGTGGGCGGTTTTGGGGGAATTTCTTTGCCGTGAGATTTGGGGGAATTTCTTTGCACAGTGGGATTTGTGTCATCTTYCCTTTTTGAGGCTGGAGTTGTCAAATGGTTTTGGTTTGCTTGTTGGTGTCCTGCCCTCTTTTTTTCCTGGAGCATTGGGAATTATTCCAAGTTTTGGCGCTTGCTGCTTTTTGCTGCGTTACTGGTGGTGGATGCTGGAAGCATCTTGGTGCTGCCCTGGTGATGGACTTGATTTCAAACACTTTGGGACTTTTTGGCCTGTTTAGGGATTTTAAGTTGTTTTTTTTTTTTTTTTTATTTTACACTGAGACCTCCCTGAAGCTCACACGGTGAGTGCTGGAAAGGCTCGATCGTGATTTAACCCTTTCCCTTCTCTCTCTGTTCCAGGGCAGCGAGGCTGTGGCGGGAGTGATCGATCTCGGCACGGTTGAAATATTCCCTGTCTCTGGTGCCATGCAGAGAGGTCTGATAGATCAGGACACAGGCCTGGCCCTCCTGGAGGCTCAGGTCATCACCTCTGGCTTAGTTCTGCCCGAGACCAGTGARAAACTCACCTTGGAGAAAGCTCTGGCAAAAAACATCATCGACCTCAGGGCRTTCCAGGTGCTGCAGGAACTGCAGGATGCTCTCCAGCAGGTGGAAGAAATCAGATGTGAAGGGAGGCAGCTCCTCCCCGTCGCTGCCGCCGTGGAAGAGGGGAGGATCAGCGAGAACGTTGGGCTCCAGATTCTCGAGGCCGAGCTGGTCACTGGGGGCTTCAAATTCCAGCAGGGCAGGATCAGCCTGGAGACAGCAGTGCGGGAACGGCTCCTCCCTCCTCAGCTTCACTCCAGKCTCCTGTCCCGCCTGGAGGGTGGAAAGGACCTGATTGACCCCAACACGGCCGAGAAGGTCGGTCTGGCCGAGCTGGTGGGGCGCTGCGTTGTCCACCACGACACCGGGCTGAGGCTGCTGCCGGTCAAGCAGCTGGCCGGTGGCATGGTGAGCCTGAGGTCYGGCCGGGAGGTCAGCATCTTCCGAGCAGTGCAGGAGGGGCTGATAGACAGGGAGGTGATGGTCAGGTTGCTGGAAGCCCATCTGTTCACCGGGGGCATCGCTGACGCCAGGACTGGCCACAGGCTGAGCGTGGATGAGGCCGTCCGGCATCATTTGATCGATCAGGATCTGGCCTGCATGCTCCTGGTCCGGCAGCTGCGGACAGGTGGGATTGTCGACAAGGCCACGGGAGAGAGGCTGACCATGGATGAAGCCCTGAGGAAGGGCTTGGTCACTCCAAGGATGGCACTGGTGGTGCTGGAATCCCTGGGGTCCTTCACAGGACTGCTGTGGCCGGAGACGGGGGAGATCATCCCGGCTGGAGCTGCTCTGGAGCAGGGARTGCTCTCCACGGAGTTGATTCTTGAGATCCTCAGCAAGAGGCAGCTCCTTGGGGCTGTTTTTGTTCCTGAAAGCGCTGAGGTGCTGTCCTGGCAGCGGGCAGTGCAGCGGGGTGTCCTGGGCAGAGGGGTGGCGAGGAGGCTGCGGTCAGCCATCATCCCTGATGTCCTGGCCAGCCCTGGCTCTCCGGACAGGAGCAGGGATGGCCAGAGCTCCCCTGGAGGGAGCCCCACCGGCCACCAGGAGCTGAGGAGTGATGATGAAAGGCTGACGTCCCACCTGATGGCCCACAGCTACATCAACGTCCACGATGGCCAGAGGCTGCTCCTGGTGGATGCAGAGCTGGACAATCTCGTGGGAACTCTCACCCAGAGCCAAGAAAACGGCTCCTGTGCCCAGGGCTTGGRAGGCTTTGGGGAGACCGAGGCGGACGCAGATCTTGAGAGCGAACCTTGCGATGGTTCGGCTTTGCAGCAGCTTCAGC